AGTGTCTCAAAGTATCACCGAAACAGTCGAAAGCACTGGAAGTGGTGGCGGATGTGACTAAACCGGAAGACTTGCGACGACTTGTGGACACAACTGTCAAACACTTCGGGAAACTCGATGTTTTGGTCAATAACGCCGGCGCCGGGATTCCCACTAACATCAGTGATAAGGATTTCTATGAAAAATTTCAGAAAATAATGCAAATAAATCTCAATTCTGTGGTCTATTTAACGCATATATGTGTCGAGCATTTGGAGAAAACTAAGGGAAATGTAATCAATATTTCAAGTGTCGCTGCTTTGAGAGCCGTAAGTCTATAATAACTAAATTCTTAATAACAATTGTAAATGAGTATTATAATTTATAAATTAACTATTATTTCTTTATTTATAAAAGTTTGCGGGCGTATCGCCATACAGTGTGGCGAAGTGCGCTCTGGATATGTTCACCAAATGTATGGCCACAGAGTTAGGACCTAAACGTATCCGCGTTAATGTCATCAAGTAAGATTTTTAAACGATATGAAAAAATTTAGTAAGCAATTTATTGTAATCATAAACAGTCCTGGACCAGTTCGCACGGGCATATTAACTGCCGGTGGTTTTAAACAGGAACAATCTGACAAATATTTTGACGCCTACTCCAGTATATTGCCTGTGGGTCGCGCTGGTTATCCTGATGAAATTGGCTATTCTGTACTTTACCTTGCCAGTGACCATGCTGCATTTGTCACGGGCACTAATCTGGTATCAGATGGTGGCGCCACTGCTGCCAACGCTCTAAACGTCCAAAATCTTAAAGATTTGACTAAACTCTGATAATAACAACAATTAATAATTGTCAATTAGCTTTTAAGCACTTTATTATAAATACGTAACATTTTGTAATATCGATTATCACACAAATAACTTAGTTATTACGAGCATAACTGATATATAATTATTGTATCATTAATTAAGAAATAGTAAAGTCTATTATTTAAAATTATCAAAACTTGTAATGAGAAATATTATAGTATACTAAAATATTTCTGTAAATTAAATTAAATGTTACCCACATTATGTTATTACTAAATAAAATACTTACTATTTGACTAAACCGTGACAATGATTTAACTAACTTACAAGTTTGTCAAACACCAAAACAAATTCAATATAATTCAAAATTTAAAAACAGAAAACATTAATTTCAATGTCAATATTCACATTGATGCAAATATTTTACTTGAAAACTTTTTTTCAAAAAAAGTACTAAACTTTTAGCAGATGTCTAGTCACTAAGGGCAGTGAGTTATTACCGGTATTTCTGAAGGTTAATAATAGTACTAATTTAAATCCATTATACAATAGGATAAATGATATGTTGAGAGATTTAACACATTCACACTACTTTTTAATTCTCAATGGTGAGGATATTTGGCCTTGGTAAGTGCACATTTGTTCATTGAGACAATATGAGCATTGGTTTCCAATTGGAGTAAAGTCTTAATTCAAATACATTGAATATTAAATTTAGTTTAAATAATTCTAGTAGTTAAATTTTTTAAAATAAACTGTAATAGACTTAATACTGTATTAAAGTATCTATGATGAATTATCATTTATAAATAACGAACTCTAAATTACTTTTTTACCAGCATCCCTTTACTACCATACAGAGTACTGTATGGGTTACAACTGCTCTCTTATAAATAGATTGAAGGCCTGACAACCCTGATAGCCTTGGTAAGTTCACATTTTTGCAGTCGCTATATAAATATAACACTAAACTTGTAAATGTTACAAAAGTTTTATAATCACTACAAGTGTTTTTGATTTATATAATACTGGTCGAGAGTATTAAATTTTTATACCATTTCAAGAAATGTCTCTCCAATACAACTTCAGCGGTAAAGTAGTGCTGATCACAGGCTCGAGTTCAGGTATCGGTGCCGCCACTGCCGTACAGTTCTCCAGAGCCGGTGCT